TCAGAACAGCTTCAAGGCTACTGGCTGACACGATCTAATCTCACAGACTACTCTAGCCAAGATTTAACCATTATCCTGATTTTCTCAAGGTTTCCCTAAATATCACCAGTGTCCTTAATCAGCAGAGGTGGCGTAGATAACAACAGCCACATTCCCAAAAGATGGGTTATGGATGTTCATTATCATTTAAGGGAAGTTGCTTACAATTATTATAGGTAATGGTCAGGGAAAAGGCTGAACAAAGGAGATTAGATTCTGGGATCTCATTCTGAAAAGGGAAAGAGAGATTTAGAAATGATAGGATGCAAAGGTAGATTATTAAATTTACTTTTAAATCAAAAAAGCAACAACCTATCTTAAATATTTTATATTGGTATAGATTTTTGTATGTTGATATAAATTTAAAGTTAATTCTGTTATACTGCATGTATATTTCTACCCTTGTTTGGGGTACTATGTTTATGCAGCTCCTTTTGAAGAACCGAAGTTCCTCCATTTTGTCCTCCACCTCCATCCTGTGTCATGTGTAAGCTATTTCCCATAAAACATTCCAGTCCTCAGAAAATGGCTAGGGGCAAAATTAGCAGAGCAGTCATCTGGTACATACAGATAACCACAGAACGTCCCCACCCGAAGCTCAGCCGATAAGAAAACTTGACAAGCAACAGTCAAGGTTCAAAAATAAAATCTCAGAAAAGTCCCTAGACACAAGCCAATCAGGATTGAACCCATCACCCCACACTTTGCTAATGTAACTTTTCTGGGTTTTGCCTTTAAATAATGTCCTCTAGAAGGGCAGGGTACCTGCTCTTGCTGCTGCTGCAACAGTTGCTTTGACAAGGTCCCTGCTGGCTTGTATTGTGCACACAATAAACCTTGCTTTTGCATTTTGGTTAGTTGGTCTCTATGGTGGTCTTTTGGGGTTCCCATGGACTGGGCACATCAATTTAAAAATGTAATATATAATTAAAAAATACAAATTAATAGTCAACTATAATAGTAAAACATAGTCATATCAGGTATGTTTTCAAGGTCATAGACAGAAACATTAAGATAGATAGATGGTCTTCAAACACTTCAAAGACCTATAGAATGTGGTATTAAATGTTTAATAGCCTAAGACTTTTCATGATAGTGAGACATGTCTGCTTCTGGCAGAACCAATTAACTTCAGAGAACATAATGGGCATTGAAAAAACTCTGTTATGGAAAGCCTTGTGGATACAACAGACTCACTCAACCTTTTGAATCACTTTAATAGATTTCTGTTTCTTTTCCTTTTCTTTCTTTCTTTTTTATTTTTAAGACAGGGTTTCTCTGTCTGACAGCCCTGGCTGTCCTGCAGCTAGCTCTGTAGACCAGGCTGGCCTCTAATTCACAGAGCTCTGCCTATCTCTGCCTCCTGAGTGCTGGGATTAATGGGGTGCCACCACCATCCAGGTACTTTAATAGATTTCCTGTTTTGGCAAGTGTTACTCTTGCTGGCAGTAGTAACCTTATTGGCTTTAAAATGTGTCTTGGCTTAATTACACAAGATTGTAAAACAGAAAGAAAGAAAGAGAAGAGGCTGTGTTTGCTGTGAGGCTACATAACTTTCAGCATGGACAGAAGGGAAGAACCCCGCAGAGCTGCAGCTGGCTTGGTTTTGGAGTGTTGGTGCCTAGCCTTAACCTGCCCTTTGTTTTCAACACCTTCTGTCTGAAATATGTAAGTCAAGTCTGAGAGTTTCCCAAAGGCACAAAGCCTATGCAAAACTTAGTTGAGAAAAATATGGCAAACCATGATATTCCTTAATCGAGAATTTGCATTTGGCATTGTCCCTTTGAGAGACTTAGAGAAGAAGATGTTTTAGGATATGGAAATAAACTTGCTAAAGGTATAAATTTGGTAACAATAAAAAGTCCTGGGCTAAAGGAGAGTGTCTCAGCCTGGGAGAGGCGGAGTCCCACTGGAGTTGAAAAAGCTAGATCCATCCTTGAGGTACCCTGTGTCTTCTGTGGACCTGTGTGACTCCACAGCCCCTCTACAACATTTGGCGTGCCAATGTTGTGGAGCTGGAGAAGTGCACTCTCGGGGTAAGAGGACTCCAGGATTGGCAGGGTCATGGGACACTTCCCACCTCAGGGACAGCAATATGTGCAGTTATTAAAATGCTGTTAAAAGGAAACGGAGTGAAAGGGAAGGAGAAGCAGCTACAGAGCGTTTGATGTTAATTAAACGACATTGGCATTGGTTTCAGGCAGCTCCTCATGTTCAGTTAAAACTGACGGCGTGGAAGCAAGTGCTGAGAGCTTTGAGTAGAGCTCATCAGAAAGGAGAGCCCATATGATTAAAAATCTGGTCTTTATGCAATTTAATTTCAAGTGTCTGGATCCGCTGCTGAGTGAGGAGTCACTTAGAGCTCCATCTGAGGTAGAACAGGGGAGCAAAAGGGAGCACGTGCCGGCTGGAAAGTGTCATCAGCAGAGGAGACCACTCCTTCTCAGGTAGGTCTGAGAGGGCTGCAGGGCTAACTGCGCGCTTAAGAACACAAGAAAGAACAAAAAAGGAAAAAGAAACTTCTCAGTAGAGAGAAGGGAAAGAAAGGAAATAAAAAAGGAAATCTTCCCAATAGAGAAGAGGGATGGAAAGGAAAGAAAAGGAAATTTCTTGATGGAAAAGGGAGAAATGTTTAATCAAG